AAGTTGCCCAGGCTGCTCTTACATTGTTACTCAGTAGCCCAGACTGACTTTAAACTTGGACTCATCCACCCTAGCCTCCCAAGTAGGTAGGATATCAAGCTTGTGCCACCACACCTGGTAGACAAATGGTGCCAGCCTACGTTGTGGGGCAGCAGGTTACAGAGATGCCCCTAAACAACAGAGGTGGAGTTTCCTCTGTGACAGGCAAGATGAACTATGGAGTGTTGAATGTGTGTGCGCCCAGCCACGCAGGAACAGGGGCCTGTCACTGTCCGTCTCCTCCGGGCTACTGGCTGCCCAGGGCCACAGCAAGTCACTATTTTCACTGGGTCTGGTTATGTTGTAGCTAGAGGAATTCACTAGTAACAAGCTAATTTAGGCCCCATGGACTCTTCTTTTTAAATAAAGCATAAAAAAAAAAAAAAAAAAAGTCAGTGTCTCACATGTAAGTGCTTTCACAGCTAGTCTGAGAATGGACTCCTGCCCTTGTCAATTTTGCCCACGAGCGGGCTCACTGCTGTGTACTGCGAGCAGGGAACCCTGTGAAGGGTCCACGTGGCACAGAGCCTCAAGAATTTTAAGTTACTGTCGAGCATAAAACAACCCTCCCTACCCCCAGCCCTTCCCTTCCCCATTCCGCAGAAAGCAGTGAACACAGGCCAGCGAAGCCAGTTGTTTACCCTGTGGTTTAATACTAGAGAAACATCGGGAAGCTCACTGTGCCATCATCGAGCCCCAAGCCAGAGCAGACAAGACACTTGCAGGGCCGCTGCCACCTGATGGCCATGTAGGGGGAAGCCAGAGTGACTTCTGGAAGGTCCTCCTCGACATCTGCCCTGGTGGCTGCACCTCCGCCATCGCCCATGAAGGCTCACATGCTCTAACGCCCATCCTCCCTCTACCTCCCTCTTCCATGTGTCAGTTGACAGAGTCTGAGCAAAAGGTCACAGACCAGCTTCTGTTGCTCTCATGACAGCAGGGGGGAAAGGCTAGAGCTCTGTGCCCAGTGTTTCCTGCACTTAGCAAGCACCTTGGTGCCTTAGCTCCCACCCCGTGCCACCCCCCCACCCCTGACATGCTTAGGAGGAGTCTAAAGTGGTAAGACTGAGGGACAGGATGGGAGGGGCCTGCTAGCCAGAGGGGCGTAGTCTGGAGGCAGAGGGCTGTCAGGGGAGCCTCACTCCTGCTGCCCTCTGTCACAGGAGGAGGGGCTAAGCTTCCTGAGCACCGTGCACAGTGCACAGGCTCACAGCACAGGCTAATTACCCCACGTCCATTTTCACAGTCCCTCCTGCAGCGCGGCATGCGTGAGGCCAGCATCTAATCAGTGTCTGTACGGAAGGATGCTACTTAGGGCTTGGCAGAGTGGCTCATGCCCGTAATCCCAGCAAACAGGAGGCTGAGGCAGGAGGATTATGAATTCAAGGCAAGCCTGACCTTCAGACTGAAACCCTGCTTAAGATGAAAACAACAAAAAGCCCACCCTCTATTGAAGGCTAGCACAACTGTGTCTGAAGCACCCTGATGTGGCCTGTTGGCGACATAGAGGCCGTAGGTGCTCTGAGGGGACAGGACCCATCGTGTGCCAATCCCTCTCCCATTCTAACACCAGGCCCAGTCGCCACTCTCAACTTAGCCCTTGCCACAGTTAAGGGAAAGAGCTTCTCTGATGCTCAGGTCAGGCCCCGGATCCTCTGGTGCGAAGCTGTTGACCACAGATGCTACAAGGTGGCTGTGCAGCGAGCTGCACCACAGGGCGTGTTTCACTCCGACCTGCCTGCACCCAGCTCTGAGCTGGGACCTGCTGATTGGCAGCACAGTGCCCTGGCCAGGCGCGCTTGTCTAAGGGTGAACCTGGGCTCCCAGTGCTCAGGCAGCAGTGGCAGGAGGATTACAATTTGAGGTCAGCCTGGGCTACCTAATGAGACCCTAGCCTCATCAAAGTCCAAGACCCCAAGAGTTATGTCCTCAGGACCTAGAGTGAGGCAGGGAACCTCCCCACCTGGACAGGTACCTCTTGGGACTGCGAGTCATCTCAGAACAGCTTTGCTTGTGCCAAGGACCTCGTTTTGCAGGTCCCTGTGGGCTGGGGTCCAGATGGGGTTACTTTCCCTGTCCTCATGGAAGGCCCAGGGGTGAGGGAGAAACGGGGAGGCACAGGAGAGTGCGGATGCATCAGATCTTTCCTTCTGCTAACCGAGCTTCAGGAAGGCGTCCCTGCCTTCCACCAAGAAGGGCGGAAGGGCGCTGGACACGGAGGATTGCTCAGCAGGAGACCTCAGAACCCGGAGGGTGGTGTCTGAAGGGAAAGAGCCACCGCCTATGTGCCCACCACCCACTGGCCTGCTCAGCTCCAAGTGCTAATTAGGCCTCACCCCACCCGGATGGAGGCGGTGCTCATTACCCGGCCTTTCTGTCGGGCTTGGAAAGGGTGATCAACAGGTTGGCCGAGGTCACCCCAGAGTCAGCAAGGCGGCTTGGGCAGGAAACAGGAATGCAGAGCCCCAAGTTCTTGTAGCTATTCTGAGCTGCCACCCTGGCTGGGGCGAAGGACGGTCTTTACAGCCACTGTCATTCCCTCTGGTCACCTGGCTCAGGCACCGAGGTGAGTCTCAGTGCTGGCGAGGGGCTTCACAGGCTAGAGTCACTCTCCTGCCTCCCTGGTCCTGACGCCTGCTCTGGTCCTCCAGCTGACCTCAGCCCTCTGTGACACCACGCCCTGCTCCTCCCTTTGCTGCTTTGTGGGGCTGAGGAGGAGAGAGCAGGAAGCCACCTGGCCGAGGGGTCCGAGGGGTCCGGCTGAGTGAGGACTGCTGCCACACACAGCCAGGAGTGTCCCCCTGCCCCAGTCAGGCTGGCCTCCTTGCCTTCTCCTTCGTCCCCTGCTGACTCCACATGCTGGAACCTTAAGTCCTTCAGCCTGAGGTTGTGTTAGCTGTTGCTTGTCTCATGGTGTGCACATGTGCGTGTGCATACGTGTACAAGAATGTGGAGGCCAGGGATCACTATCCGTGCACTCTTCCATCCGTCTCCATTTTATTTCTGAAGACAGTCTCGGTGGAGCTGGAGCTCACCGAGTCATCCTGATGGGCTGGCCAGCAAGCTCTGGGGATCTGCCTGTCTCTGCTTCCCCCATGCTAGAGTTACACACATACACAGTCACCCGGCTTCTCACACAAATGCTGGAGCCCAGCTCCTCTCACGTTTGCACAGCAAGCGCTTTACCAACTGATCTACCCCTTTACTCTTTTATGAATGCAATTAAGAAAACAAAAGCAAGTCTGAGAAAGGGCAAGCGATCACCAGCTTGTTAATGAGTTTGTTAATGAACGAACTGCAGTCTCCCTGGGTAGCCTGAGGCCTACGTGAGCCTAGTTCCCCTGCCCTCTTAGCTGAGCGGCAGGCTTAGGTGAGGGGGTGGTCAGCAGGACAGACATGCTGACCTACTACAGAAGAGCTCCCATTAAAGATGGCCTGGGGTTGGCCAGATCCTGAGGGTTAGTGGGCAGCACCTCCCAGGTCATGTGGGCTGCCCCAGCATCCCCTGCGGTAGACATATCCAGGCTCAGTGGAGCCTGAAGCTAGCAGGCCTTCAGAGATAGGGAGGTCAGAGGGAACCAAAGCCCACTGATGGGGTGGGGGCCACCCAGAGCTGGCTGGAAGACTTAGCAAGGTGGGGCTGTGATTGGGAGGAGCCTGTGGCTTGCCAAGTCAAGACTGGCAACCAGCAGGAGGAGTGACAGGGCATTGACTAGGAGATGGGGTCAGGGGCTGGCATGGCTTGAGAGATGTGTGGGAACCAAAAGAGACCTCGGTATGGCAGGAATTGTGGGGGAGGGTTTCAGGGATGGGAACAGCCAGAAGCAAGAATGGAAGGTGTGATGAGGGCAGGGTCTGGTGGGAAGAGGAGGAGGAGGGTAATGCTGGGAGAGATGTCTGAAAGGTGAGGGGCAGAGCACGCTCAAGCTTGGGCTGGGCTGCCAGGCAGCGCTTCGTGACTGGAGGGAATGTTTTCGCCCTGGTCCGCTGAAGAGGGGCTGCCAGCAGTTGCCAGGACCCCAGAAGTTGGGTTCTGAATAAACACTGCACTCTCTCAGGCAGCTTGCAGATGAAGATGGGCAGCAAGTAACACACTCTGGGAGCACTCTCAGGCTGACTCCACCTCTGCTGTCTCCATGTCGCTACGTGGGGTGGCACCTCTCCTGTCAGTGAGCAAAGTCAGACGTCACCTGACAGGCACAGAGTACCCCTCTCTATGGAGACCACCAGATGATCCCCCCCACTACACACACACACTGGTTTGTGATCCAGTTTCTCAGGAAGGAAATTACCAGATGGCCTGGTTAACTGGAAAGACAGCCTAGCCCTGGTCAGAGGGTGGAAACCGAATCATTGTTCGCTGGCTACAGGAAGTCCACCTTCTCCAGCAGCAAGGGGAACAGGAAGGAAGCAAAGATGCAGGGAGACAGGAACCCTGAGAGGCCTGTGAGTAGACCCACACTCACAGACCACGGGGGGCAAGCCCCCCAATAGCCTTCTATGGCTACGGAGACTGTGGCCTCAGTCGGACATTCGTTCAGGTGCCCACAGGCTCAACAGGCAGAGTCCCACTGTAGGCAGCTCCAAGAGGAACTGACTAGACTTGGGGTCCCCCTGGCCAGAGCTTACAGCCAAGCACTGACTGTCTGTGGTGCTGAGGGCTTGCCTGCTGCTCCAGCTGTCCCTCCCCAAGCCGCAGCCTATACCTTAAGGTGGGGAGGGGACACTCTCGGGGTGGCCACAGGGACATTCCCAGGGCAGAGAAGATGGGACGTAGGCTCTAATGATTACTCATGTGTGACGCAGCCCACACAGCCACTCTTCTCTTGGGATCTCCCAGTTAGGCCTGCCCAGAGAAGGCACCTCCTAGGAGCAAACATCACAGAGAGCAGTAAAGAATACCATTTTTAGAAGATAAATGAAAGCAAGCATTATCCTGGCTCTTTTTTTCTTCTTTTTTATCTAAAATAAAAGTTCTAGTAAGTAAGAAAATTTCGGAGAGCAGTTACCCCTAGCTCCTAGATGAGGCTTATCAGCTGGTCAGCACCCACAAGCTGGCAGAAACACGCCCTTCTGCAACGCATGCAGGCTGGATAAACAGCACTGTGCAGCTCTCAGACACAGGGGCCAGCAGCACGTGAACACAGAAGGAGTCCTAGCCAGACAGACACTGCTCCGCTTGCTTTCCCTAAAGCCCAGCTGCTCGCCCAGCGTGGGCCCCGAGCCCTGCCTCTTGCTCCACTTCTCACTGAAGGCCATTAGCAGTCCGGGCAGCTGCTGTGCCCACCAGCTGCATGGGGACGCAGTGGGCCAAGTGTGCCCGCCAGGCGCGCATTCTGTAGCCAAGAAGTAGCTCCCGCCTGCTTCGTGGCTGTAGGCCGACCACATGCACACACATCTGGAAACGCACGTGTGGGAGGCTTGGGACCCCCTGCCCCAGCTCTGATGTTTTCAATTCTAAGCCTGCCCTGTGCCACCGCTGTGCCATCAAAGAGCCTTGTGTGTCCCTGGGCCCGCAGTGAAAGCAGCCAGCATCTCTATGGCGGAGGCTCAGCGAGGTCCAACTATTTTTGTCCTTAGTTCTACAGACAAACGTCTGTTCAGTTCATTTCCCCAAGGGAAAAGGGAACTCAGGACTGAACTACACTGCTCTGGACCTGAGCTGCCTGTACCCAACCTGCCAGCCCTCCCTGCCCAGGGGCTGGATGCTCTGCAGGGCATATGCAGGGTGCAGCCCACCCCCGCACAGAGCAGAGGATGTGAGCACACTTGATCTGGAGGGCAGACTGTCCAAGTGACGCCTCTCCTCTCGAAACCAGCTGTAAACACAGATAGGGAGGGGCCTCCGTGCCTGCCAAGGGAGGCAGCAACTTTGTGAGTAATTGACTCAAGGAAAACAAGTGCGGCAGGCAGGAGCGTGTGCGGCGCTCACGCGTCGCTGGCTGCCGCCGCGGAGTGGCCCCAGGGTTCCCGAGAGACAGGCGCTGGCCCTGTCATGCTGCCTGTTGCTGACCTCTGGAGCCCACAGTACGAAGGAAGGAGGGACTTGAGATAAAGGTAGGAGCCTGGCGGCTGTCACTCACTGCTGCTGGCTGCCTGGGGCTGGGGATGAAGAGGCCAGGGAGGGCAGCCGTGTGGGAGGAGAGAACTGATGACCCGACACCATGGAGAGTCTCACAGACACGGAGGGACAGGGCAAATCTGAGTTCCTGGATAGGTCTGTTCAGTATATGAAGCGCTGCAGATGCAGGTCTGACTGAGCGAGGGCCCAGGCCCTGCCATCGGGGTTGGGGGCCTTGTGGGCTCTCAGCCTCTGTCTCCATGCTGAGGAAGAAGGTTAGAGGGGACCAGGTAGGAGAATCTCCATAAAGCCTGGGTTCCTAAGGCTATACCAGGTCAGCAGGAACGTGGCTGTGGGCAAGGTTCCGATAATGTGTGCTCCTGTTCAGCCACCATTGGCCACCAAAGCCAGGCAGCCTAGGAGACCTGTTTGGGGGGCTGGGTATCGAGCCTTTCATAGGAGTCGAGTGTCAGATATCCTGGGCTTCTGTGCTAAGTGCTCAGGGAGGCAGCACAGACCAGAAGGAAACAGAAAAGCAGTGCCTGCAGAGGTAACCAGAAATGACAGAGACGCCGCACGTTTAGAGACAGGAGGCGAGTTCGGGAGCAGGCCAGGACGGTGCTGGTGTACAGTACCCTCCAGCGGCCAGTCTCCAGCCCCCCGCCGCCCCGAAGCAGGCAGGGGTCACCAAGGGAAACCCGTGTGTGGTGGAGGATGCAGCAAGCACTTGTCCTGGAAGGAGGGCAGGGCTTGGCCTTGCTTTCTGTCATCCACTGCCCTCGCTGCTGGGGGCAAGGACTGTGGCGTCCTTACTCGGTGGCCGCCCATGAGCGCCTGAAGGAGGGTTCCAGCATCGCCTGCTGAGCTCAACGGCGCGTGCCTGACCAGGGGAGGGGGCAGGCTGATATCCAGCCGTGCAGCCCTCTGGAGCAGACTGTAGAGTGGGGTTCTCCACTTTCCTCCTGAAGAGCCTCCTCCTCCCCTGCCGCCAGCCCGAGCCCCAGCAGCGCCCCCACAGGGGCAGGGGCCCCTCCTCTCACCGCTGTGACCCGTGGCACAGTCAGTTCACGCCTGTGGGCCATGTAAAGCGCATGGAGAGCAGCCCCTCGGTGAGTGCTTCCTCCCGGCGGGGTCCGGGCCAGGCGGGACCAGCGCCAACACCAGCAGCCTGGCTTCCTCGCTTTGTCCCAGCACTCCGGGAAACAGGAACGCGCGCTTCCAGTGTGTCTGCTCGGGATGCTTTTTCTTTTTTGATTTTACGGGCAGGAGGTCTGGTTGAGCCAAAGTATAGCTGGAATGTCAAGTGTCCACCCCCACCCCCCAAAGAACGGGCATCCCCGAAGAGGAGGAACGCCCTCCAGAGACCCACTTGCTTGCCAAGGGGCCAGCCCCTGGCATTCGGAGGGGAATTATGTGGACACAATTCGAGTGTCCATGCTCAGCCCCCAGCTGCATCGGCCCCAGAGGCGCCTGGGCCTTCTGCTTCCGCACACCCCCAGGGCAGCAGCCCTTCCGGGCCCTTCTCTCAGGGTGCAGTGCAGGGGCTCCAGGTGTGCAACACGTGGAGCTCACGTTTGTGCGGACATGTGCTTGTGCTGGCACAGCCTGCTCCTGTGCAACGCACGCACGCACGCACGCCTCCTGTCCCCTGTGGCACCGGACATGTCTGTCCACATCCTACCAGACGGCAGGCTATGCTGATGTCTTCTACCTAAGAGAGACAGAGTGAGCGGGGACAGCCATCGGGTGGGGATGGCGGTTGGGGCAGCCTGGCACAGCCAGTGTAAGGTTCTGTGGGTTCTATCCCCAGGGAGTCCCCCAGCTGATGCCAAAAGGCAGCAGGGGCTTTGCTGGTGGTGACGAGCCACAGGCAGCGCTGTGCATTCATGGCACAGGAGGGCACACGTAACACGCTCCTAACGGTTTCTCCAAAAGCCTCTGACGGGTCACCGGGGACTTTGGTTTCCTTGGGAGTCGCACCATGGATGTCCTTGAAGTCTAGAGACCTGGCTCTCACACTCTGGCCTGGAGCCTCCTGTTCGCAGACACCTCACAGGACAGCGCTTCCTGGCGCCTGGGGACTAACCCTGTTCTTCCTCTCTCCACAGAGCTGCGGAGCTGGCGTGAGCTGCCATGTGGAGCTGTGGCCAACTCAACAGCACAGCGTGGGGTGAGGAGCCGCTGTGCCGGAACCTGCGCCTGGGGCTGTGGGTCCTGTCGCTGCTCTACCTGGGGGCAGGCGTCCCCGTGGGCCTGGGCTACAATGCCCTCCTGGTGCTGGCCAACCTGACCAGCAAGAACAGCATGACCATGCCTGACGTGTACTTCGTGAACATGGCTGTGGCGGGGCTGGTGCTCACGGCGCTGGCACCAGCGTACCTGCTGGGCCCCGTCCACTCCAGGTGGGCCCTGTGGAGTCTCAGCAGCGAGGCCCACGTCACGCTGCTCATCCTGTTCAACGTGGCCTCCCTGGTGACCATGTACTCCACGGCCCTGCTGAGCCTGGACTACTACATCGAGCGCGCCCTGCCCCGCACCTACATGGCCAGTGTGTACAACACGAGGCACGTGTGTGGCTTCGTCTGGGGAGGGGCAGTGCTCACCAGCTTTTCCTCCCTGCTCTTCTACATCTGTAGCCACGTGTCTTCTCGAATCACTGAGTGTGCCCGGATGCAGAACACGGAGGCGGCGGACGCCATCCTGGTGCTCATAGGCTACGTGGTGCCGGGTCTGGCCGTGCTGTACGCACTGGTGCTCATCTCCAGGATTGGGGAGGGAGACACGGCCCTGGACCAGGACACCAGCAGGCTGGACCCCTCGGTGCACAGGCTGCTGGTGGCGACCGTGTGCACACAGTTTGGGCTCTGGACACCTTACTACCTGAGCCTGGGGCACACGGTGCTGGCCGCTCGGGGGAGGCCCGTGGAAGGGTACTACCTGGGCATCCTGCAGGTTGCCAAGGACCTGGCCAGGTTCTTGGCCTTCTCGAGCAGCTCCGTGACGCCGCTGCTCTACCGTTACATCAACAGAGCCTTCCCCAGCAAGCTCCGGCGGCTGCTGAAGAAAATGCCCTGTGGGCGCCGGCACTGCTCCCCGGACCCTGCGGCCGTGCAGCAGGTGATGGGGCAGGCGTAGCTGGCCCCTCCCTCCCTGGTCGGCGTCAGGGACACTAAAATCCAACTGGAAGCGTAGCACTGTTCCCCAGGCGCACGGCGCTTCTGTCCCCATGCTTGAGGCAGGATGGCACAGGGGTGCATTTCTCCTGACATTTTCTATCTTCTCCTAAAAGGCCAGTCTTGGTCTTAAGCTGCAGTGTGGAAAGTGGTGGTGCCCTGTGCGAACAGGCTGCTTCTAACTAACCTTCCCACCTTCTCCCCAAGCTGTGTGCCTTCCTCCCAGGGATAGCTTCAAGGTCCATGTCCTCACAAGCAGGCTGACCCTCCCTGGTATTTGGGCTTTCTAAATGAAGTGATGAAATCTAAAGCCAGTATTTATACTTCGTATTGACACAATACTTGATTCCCCTCTTATTTTTTTGAATAGAAAGTGTTAGAAAAATGCCTCGTATTAAGATGCAGGCAGGACGGAGGAATGTGGCTGTCGCTGGTATCAGAGTTCTAGCCTGAGGACAGGACAGTGCGCCCGTGGGCCTGCTGCGCTACACGGCCATCGCTGACAGTGGCAGCGGTGGAGCACAGGCCCTCTCCCCAGCCACACAGCCTCTCCTCTACCGAGAAATGGTCTCAGTATAGGCCTGGCTTTCCAGTGCCTCAGTGTACGCACATGAAGAAATGGAAGAGAGAAAGTTCTGAGGTGATAAAGCGTTAGCTGGGCATGGATGGGAAAGGCAGGATGGTATGACAACCTGCATCAGGGGGAAGGGCCCTGCCTGGCCAGTTTCACACAGCTGTGGGGTGGTATACGACCAGGTTCACCCCCACATATGTCTGGGTCCAGGCCTCCCCCATGTGCCTCTGGGGCCGTTTGCCATCCTTGTATTTGGTAATTGTTTACTCTACCGTGGGCATGAAAAGAACTCCCTCCCTCCCCATCCTGTTGCTGCCACCACCCCATTCTTCAGGGCTACCCTGCAAGCCCACAGCTCCCTGCTCCCCATTTCCAGAGAGCTAACCTGGCTGTTTCCCCGGAAGGCTGGTGTGGTCCGGATCCGTGGCCTTCCTACATGGCCCTGAGGCTGGTCCTGGCTGCTTGGGAACTTCAGCTATGACTTAGTGGCTTTAGTTTTATCTATCTGTGCAAACTACATTTCCTCAGATGGTGACTGCCTGAATTAGTTTGCCTTAGGAGAACTAGGGAGATAGATGAAGTCCTCAGACCTGGCTATGGTCCACTGGGCATGCTCTGTGGGGCTCGGCTCCCCATGAATAAACCACAGGGCTGGGTTAGACAAGAGCCTTCAGAGTTGCTTATGGCTGTAGGGTTTTGTTTTGAGGTCTTTAAAGTGGCAAGCCTGATGTCCCCTGCCCTTCCCCACCAGGTGGGCAGCTGAGTGAAGGCCCCAAGACTCTAATGGCTGCCAGGCTTCCCATCCGGATGGCCACACTGATCACTTTAATGCTTGCTGAGGAAACAAGACCTCTCACCATGAAGGTTCTAGCTAGGCCTGGCCTGCAGGCCAACTGTAATTCTCCTATGGGTGAGAGCAAGCCCAGGGATCAAGGTCAGGGCAAGCAAAGGGCAGCCTGAGCTTTGTGGGTCATGGGGAAACGAGCTCCAGGTGGGCGGGGCCGTCTGTGACGTGGTGCCCCGTGGTGCCCCGGTTTAAAGCAGTCCCTGCCTTTGCTGACCATTTCACACTCTTTGCTCCAGGCAGAGGTCCTGGGGGACTCTGTGCCCTGGGATCCTCCATCCCAGCCATCCCAAGCAAAGTGGGGAATGGCTCAAATCACATTCCTCTGCTGCGTTTTCTCAGTGGCCTTAGGTTCAAACTGGCCAGGTTCTAGGGGACCCTTGAGGGACTGGAAGCCAGGGCCCTGTGACTGGCATCAACTGTACTTGTCCTGCAGGGGTAGCTCAGTGGACACCCGGATGCCTGCCTGGGAGTGGTGGCCATCTGCAGCGCAGACCCTTTCGCTATAGAGAGGCTCTGGAGCGAAGTGCCCTCCTGGCCAGGACCTCCTCCTTGCCCCAGCCTTCCACCACAGACACCCAAGTGCTCAAGTTACTCATGCTCTGACCTTTGCTGTCTGTGACCCTGTCCTTAGCTCATCCTGGGGGCCCCCAATGTCTGTTCCCCAAGTCTTCTGCCTTGCACCTCCCAAAGTAGGAAAGAACCTACACCACATAGAGGTTACTGCAGTGGTGTATGTGTGTGTGTGTGTGTGTGTGTGGGGTGTGTGCACTGTGTGTGTGTGGTGAGTGGGTGTGGTATGTATGTGTGGGGTGGATGTGATGTGATGTGGTATGTGTGTGTGAGAGAGACTCAGTGGTTCTTTCTTGCGTGAGTTTAAGGTGTCAGGCAGAACACTTTTCCCCAAGGATCGTTCATTTGGCTGTCATCACTTCTTGATAGTTGACGATGAATGCTTTTATTTTCATTAGCTCACACGAAAGCTTGCCACATGTCATGACTTAGGATTCCAGAGAGCGACCTTTTCTTGGGCTTCCTTCACAATGCCAGATGGCATGACACAGGAAAGCGGACCCATTGCTCCCTGGGGCAGATGTACCCAGGAACTGACAGACACCTGTTCTGTTGGGGAGAGCACATGGCAGAGGTCAGACCAGAGAGAAGTTATGACCTTAAACTGTGTGTCCAGTTCTTGGGTTTTAAGCCTGTGGGAACATATGGGCATTTTATTCCTGGCCTACGCCCCCCCCCCCCCCCGTGGATGGTTCCATTTGCCGAAATTCTGTGAATGTGAAAAAGAAACTACTGATGAGATTCACACATCTTGACGACTATTAAATTATTTAACACTCAACACCCTGCTTCCTTTTTTTTTTAATGGTGGGCAGACTCAAACTCCAGGGCTTTGTACCGGCACACCAATGTCTGATTTCCTAAAATGCGAGTTTCTAGGGGTGATGTGCATCGGGAACCAGCAAGCAAAGTGCCTTCAAACTGGTTGTTTCTTGGCTGAGGATGCAGCCCAGGGGGGGACTGCTCTAGCACACACAAAGCCCCGGTCTGGTCTCCGGCGCCTGCATGGCCCTACTGTGGTGATGTGTGCTTAGAAGCCCATTATCAGGGAGGTAAGGAGTTCAAGATCATCCTTGGCTACAGGAGACCCTCTCATAGGATAAAAAAAGGTTGCTTCAGGGCTGGAGTGATGTTAAGAGCGCTGGCTATAAGCCAGGTTTGGTGACGAACGCCTGTGATCCCAGCACTCTTCGTGGGAGGAGGCAGAGGCAGGTGGATCTCTGAGTTCAGTCTGGTCTACACAACAAGTCAGGACAGCCAGGGCTATACAGAGAAACCCTGTCTTGAAAACCACCACCACTGGCTCTTCTTCCCAAGGACCTGTATTCAATCCCCTGAACCCACACACTGGCTCCAGTTCTAGGGGATCTGTTGACACCCTCTTCTGGCCTACATGGGAACACACATAGATAAATAACACAAATCTTTCTTTAAAAGATTGTTTCCACTCATACTATAAACCTTAACATTCTAACAATTCTGTAGACTTTAACTTGTCTACAGAATTACATTAAGCGGATAGACCAAGAGCTGCTCAGATGTCACGTGCCCTGTGGTTACAAGCCTTATGGGTGACAAAGGGAACTCGGACCTGTCACTCAGCTAGCTCACAGTTACCAAGGCTACACCCACGCACCGCCCACTTCTTCCCCAAATGTCACCCATCTTTAGGCACAGGCTGAGGGTCCCCTCATGACCTACCAGCTCCACCAAGGCCCCTGGCATGTAGGGGAGGGTCCGTCCCAGCAGCACACAGTGCTGGATGACATAAGTGAACAAGTGACAGCCTGGGAATGCTGGTGCCATCAGTAAGAAGCACACAGCCTAGAGTATCCTGCCTCTCAGCCACCTGAGCCTCGGGGCAGCGAGGGAGCCAGGGTGCGCCTGGCTGATGTGTCAGGCCACAGTTAGAAAAGGGGAGAAGGCCTTACAACCTGCCCCTGCTGGAAAGCTCCACCCACCACATGCTCTGGCCACCGCACTCCCCACATCCTCCATTCCTCTCACTTCGAATTCCCTCTCCGTGTGTGTGTGTGTGTGTGTGTGTGTGTGTGTGTGTGTGTGTGCACGCACGCACGTGTGGGTCTGGAGAGGGGTGTTCGTGCATGTGGGGGTCTGAAGTTGGGGTTGGTAATATCCTTGATGGTTCTTCCTCCTTATTCACGGAGGCAGGGCCTGTCTTTTAATCAGAGCCAGGACACAGGGACATGGCTAGTCTTGGTAGCCAACTTGATTTGAGGATGCCATCTCTGTCTTCCGGGGCTGGGATTGTGGGTGGGCCACCATGCCCACTGGGCACATACATGACTTCTGGGGATCCAAACTCATGCTGTGTAGCATGTGCTTTAACAAACACCAAATCATCTCCCCAACCCCTGCTCTGAGATAGTCAGTTGGAAAAGTAAGGACAGCTAACCATACAGCTGTGCTTTCACAGCTGTGTGTCCACGAGAGCAACTGTGGAGACAGCTTGTCCTCCAAGAGGCCGTGGTGACAGGACAGGCAGACTCGACTCTGCAGCCCAGGAAGACTGGCAGTAAAGGGATGCCCACCTACCCAGACGGCACCTTGAATCTTTACAGTCACCCCAGACACCTAACGGCCTGCCTCGATGGGCCAGGAAAGGAGACAATATCTTTGGGGCCCTGGGGAACTTTCTAGAATTGTGGAAACAGTCTCTCCATTGCATGCACCTGTCAGAACCCATGAGCCAGGAACCTGGAGCTCTGTCAACTGGGTCCTGTATGGACTGACCCTCAGTGCTTCCTGAGGAGGGGACAAGGATGCAGCCCCATGCCATCACCATCATGGATAACATGACCCTGGAAGATGCAGAATCCTGAAAAGTGTTAAAGCGCTGTTGCTTTCAAGTTAGGAGCAGAGGAGCCTGCTAGGCCTTCCCCGGGTTTGTGTTTCCTGTCTCTGAGACAGGCTCGATTCCAGAGCTCCACCCAGTGGCTGTCGGTGGACTTGCTGTCAGCCTGTGGACAAGCCTCCACAGGCTGCACAGCCAGGGCAAGAGGCCAGGCGCCAGGAGAGGGCGTGTCAGGCAACCACAATTAGCTTGCCTCGCCCAAGGCTCTCCCACAGTGGCTTACACCCCAAACAGATAGTGTGGGCATCAGCTAAGTATGTGGAGCAATCCCACCGATGTCCACAACCTCCATTACAGTACAGATTTACATGGAGAAATGTTCCCATTTCTACAGTTTCTGACATGAGCTTGGGCTCCTACACAAAACTTATCCCATGATCCTCAGTGTATGTGTGTCTCTGCCACACCATGACTAAGCTGAGGAATGATGGGTCTCGGATGCAGTATGGCTCCCAGAGGGATGGAGGCTCTGTCACTGGCCATTCCTTCCCTCTGCTGTGGAGGACACTGGCATCCTAGCCAGCAGGGGCAAAGACCCCACGTGCTCCATGGTAGGGCATGGTGGTCTGTGTGCTGGTGTATGGGCTGGGCTGCTAACTACCATGTACCAGGGTCTCCCAGGCCACATCTACTGTGGAGAGGTTAGATCCTTGGCTCTCACTGAACAAACACTCCAGCCTAATTGGTGAGGTCTAGGCCAATGAAAGACCCTGCCTCAAAGGAAGTGGTTGGAGCTCCTAAAGATGAGGTTGACCTGTGGCCTCCATGCTCATGTGCACCACAGTCACCACCATCCTCCCCATTCTAAATAACCCCCAAACCTGGACAAGCTTTCTAGGCAGAGTCAGAGTTCCACAAGGAAGCTGTACATCCTTGGCAGACCACACCGTCCCGTGACAGGAAGCCAGGCAGAGCTGGAGGACCAAGTGTCGTGTTAATGGCACCCAGGAGCTGGCTCCAGGTCCCACCGCCCTCAGCAGTGGCGTGAGGCAAGTCTGAAGAACTACAACATACTGCATTCAAACTAAACCACCAGGAGTCCACTGCATGGATCAGATGAAGAGGGAGAAAGAAAGGGCACACAGGGGCATCGGGGAGGGAGCAAGCACTTCAAATAACCAAGGAAAGGGCTGGCATGATGCCACATGCCTGCACAGTCCTCTGAGAGGCTGAGCCAGGAGGATGGGAAGTTCCAGGTCAGCCTGGGATACCCTGTCTCAAAAAAAAAAAAAAAAAAAGCTGGGTGGCAGCGGTGCATGCCTTTAGTCCCAGAACTCAGGAGGCAGAGAGGCAGGTGGATCTCTGAGTTTGAGGCCAGCCTGGGAGTTGAGGGAGGAAGTTTCAGGACAGCCGGGGCTACACAGAGAAACCCTCTCAAAAAACAAAAAAAAAATTTTAAAAACAAATAAAACAATTATTGGGACGTGGCCCAGTTGGCAGAGGGCTTGCCCGGCGTGCACAAAGCCAGGAGTTTTAACCCCAGCACTTGGAGTGGGAGTTGAAGGATATAGACAGCCAGATGCCAGCCTCAAATCTGCCCCACAATTCCCAGGAAGGTGGTCACTTGGCACTGTGTTGGGACATAACAGGACGTGGGCAGCGCTCCCTTGGGGACTCTCTGCACATTCGGTCTGCAGCACCTTGTGGGAAAACCATGGCTGCCCAGGGCAGACCCAGGCCCGGCCTGCACAGACTCACTGACCACCCCATTCGAGGACTAGCTCCAGGTACACAAGACAGGAAACAGCTTGTGCCCTAAGTGTGGATGCTCGGGCCCAGCGAGCCTGTTAGGCAGTGAGCCTGTGTTACAGTAAGTGAGGGAAGATGCCAGACGGAGTGCAAAGACTCCAGAGACGGGAGGAGGTGGGAAGCAGAGATGGGGAAGAGCCAAGCCCAGCACACTGAGGATGGATGTCCCACAACAGAGAAGCACCAGGCACAGAGCCCTGTGCCACCCAGCCTGAGCCAGGACCGGATCCTCACTGGCCTTCCAACCCTTGCTCCTAATTCCAACCTCATGATGGAAAAAATGTGTACAGCTACTATGTGAACCTGTCCTCCTGACCCCTGGGCTGCCACACAGGAAGACCAAAGTCACAGCAGTCATTGGCCTCACCTTAGCTGGCGTGACGCAGTATGGCAAGATGACCCTCCACCCCTGTCCAGCCTCTGGACCACAGACTGAGTTCCTGCCACAGGCCTCCAGATGTCAAACCATCAGCTCTCCAAACTGCAGGGTCAGAGAGTACGGCCCTGGAGAAGGGCACACGGGCTTCTCCTAGAGATGCTGCCTAAAAGAGATGTGCTTGCCACCATCACCGCCCAGGCTTGCAGGGAGAAGTGCTGAGCATCTGGAGGAGATGCCCACGAAGCAGCTCACACGCATGCTATCTCTGCCCACCCCGTACACCCGCAAGACCAACACTGCAGCAGCCTCGGGCCTCAGAGGGGTTGGGGTGAGCCGCTACTCGAGCCCGGTGACGGAGCCCAGCCTTGCGCAGTGCCCCGCATAGCCAGACTAGCAGAATTAAAACACATGCCTCAAAGAAAGCTGTGCTTCAAGGGCAAAGATGGGGCGAAGTCACCACTGCCGACACAGAAAATGAAGTGACAAAGAGGGGGCCTGTCTGCTTTGTCTCCTCTCAAGTGGAATCATAAGGCGTGTGGGATTTTGGGTCACGCTCTCCCACTGAGTGTGACGTCTCAAGGACCACCCTGGTTGCTGCTGTGTGTCAGAACCTGGCCCCTCTTCATGCTGAATGACCGCCGCATGTCCGGACACACGGGTGGGCTGCCCTGGTTGCTTCCACCGCCTGGCTGTGTGAAGGCCTGCTGAGTCTGTGGGAAGGCAGGCCATCCCGTAAGCCACCCCCACTCCGCCCCCAGCTCCCAGGGCCGGACAGAGGACGCACAGCTGTGCAGTCAGAGAAGCGCCGACACCTTGCCGCCCAGACCTTCTGTGGCCGTGTGATCACAGCACAGGAGACATCAAATCGCCTTCCTGGGCGTGGTTACACACACCTTTAATTCCAGCTCTCAGGAGGCCAGCCTGGTCTACATGGTGAGTACCAGTGCAGCCAGGGTACACAGTGAGACCCTGCCTCAAAAACAACCAAATAAACAAAAAAGGAGGTGTATCCTCAAAAAGGGGACAGCCACCATGTTCATCATGAACAAATGAGGGGAGGGGAGGTCACGATGGAGGCAGCCAAAGCCTCCCAGCTGGTGGGGGCCACAGTATGGCAGAGGGCACAGAGGGAAGTCATACCTACCCTCTGACCCCTCCCACCCTACGAACACCTTCAGTGTCCCTCCCCTCCTCCCACACATCACAGACTCTGCCCTTGGTGTTGGGGACTCCTGGGGAAGGACTGTGGGCTGTGCGGGTCCTGAGCACAGGCAGCAGGAACACGCAACCTGGGGCCGAGTCTTCCTGTGTTCCCAGGGCTGCGTGAGCATGCAGTCCGGGGCCTCCTTCCTGAATTCTGAATCCCTGAGGCTGCATCTTCTTAAATCTTGCAGCAGCCTTCAAACGCAATTTGGGGACACATCTCCCTGAATTCTATTACCAGGTCAGAGCAAAAGCTCAGGGCAGCACTTGGGGGCTGACAGCCTGCACCCAGACAATCACAAGCTTAGGCAGGGGTCACCAACTTAAGAAGTCTGGTGACACCAAGGAAGTGGTTCATGCCTGGGGGCTTGCAACATTCACAGAAGCCAGTTTACCCAGAACCACCCGGAGGAGCCAACACTGCATTCCTCTGTCACGCTTCTGGGAATGCCAGCTGAGCACAGGTGCTATCATCACTCATTTCACAGCAGGGAACTACAGTCTGGAGATGGGGTGCTGAACCCCAGGGATCACACAACAGTAAATGCACACAGAGATGAGCCTCGGCAGTTCTGTCCAAGCACACACAAAAGCCAGGGACATCCCACGCCTATTCGCTTATCCTAAGAACCCGCTTGGGTCAGGCAGGAAGCAGCAGGATCTACAGACAAACAGGACCCTTGTCCTCAGGTGTAGAGGCTTGGGGAATGACATCTGTGCCCTTCAGTCCCCTCAGGGTTCCAGGGCATGAGCTGTTGAGACTGAGGCAGGCTGGCCACCTCGCTTCGGCTCAAGCAGAGCTGCAGGGCCTCCTCCCACTGGCCCCAGCAGAAGATGACAAGCTGAAGATGGCTCCAGAAGACAACACAGGGTTGTCCCTTCACCGGGGACAGGGTATGACATGCAGAGAGCACAGCAGCGGGCTTCTGCTTTCCCTTCTCAGCAGGAAAGCAGAATATGGCAAGGAGGGGGTTGTCAGCCCCAGGGTCCCCACCTTACCTCCGTGCCCTGCCCAGGCCCCGGGAGAGGGACCAGGCACTCACACAGAGGGACAAAGCCCAAGGCAGGCAAAGGAAGCTAGACTGTGAGCCCACATGACTGTCCTAGCCACATCCTACTGTGGAAGCCTGATACATGAGGGGCGTGAGACGGGCCAGAGGTCACTCGGGGACCATTCTCAGGAGTGACACAATAGGGTTTTGCAGAACTGCCAAAGGAAGGACACAGCCAGGAGTCAAATACGTAAGTACTGGGGGTGGCCTCCAACACAAAAGGGGTGGCGAGCAGCCCTTTGGGCCCCCCAGCACTTCAGTCCACGAGCTGAGCGTAGCACAGTGAACTCGTGGCCAGGAAGGAACGGAAGGCTGGCGCAGTGACGTGGGTGCCAGCCGCCCTCACCACACCAGGCAGGAAGGCGGAAAGGGAGGATGCAGCGACTGTCCCAGAGCAGAGAGGCCCCTGGGATGACACCTCAGCCATCAGGGCCCGCTCAGACGCCTCTCCCACCAGCTTCTTCCTCCCTGGGCCAGTATCTGGCATCCAGGGCTGAAAATGCACTCAAGGGAGTCCAGGTCCCCAGGTAATGGCTTTCTAAGCCCCAGGTCAGACAGCAGTGGGCAACACAGGAACTACCGAGAGGCTCAGGCACCTCACTGGCATGGCTCTCCCACAGCACTCTGGAGGAGGAAGGAAACGCCGGAGACCAGAATCACAGGGCAGCTTGGGACTGATGTGACGTCACACCAACAGCCTGCAGCGCCGTAGAAGTGTGCACACACCGGGGTGGGAGTGTGGGTAAAGACCACTGCATTTTAAGATTTTAAAGCAGTTCCCAAGACCGTTTACCTCCATGTGCCTGGGGCGCTCCCGTCAGAACCTGGCATCTCTGCTCAGCACTCCTTCCAGCCAGCACCATGGCCTCCTGGGCAAGGCCTGGTGGAGAGGATGCAGGACACCAGCAAGCCGACCAGCCTCCTGGCACCACGTCCAGGCACAGCCCTGCTCCACAACCCCGAGGTGCAGCTCTGGCCACTGGTATGCAGGGTAGTGAGGGGTGCCTGGTATTGCCTGGCATCCTGGCCCAAGTGTCCACCATCCTGAGTCTGTGTCAGGGACAAAGGGGCCAGACCCTCATCCATGTGGCAAGGTTCCAGGCGCTGCTTTGCACTGGTTGGGAGGGCTTTTCCTTGCTGGGTGGGGCTTCAGCTCCTATTTTAGGTTGCGAATGCCTTTGCCTTCTGGGAGGGACCTTCTGCTAGTGGCCAGCACACTTCTGCAAGAAAGCTCTGGAAATCCTGACTCAGACACGTCACTCCTCCACCTCAGACATAGGTTCCTTCTGATTCCTCTGGGTCACATGCTCCAACCATAGCCCGCTTAAACACAGTGTGTGGTTTGGAGGACTCCAGGCCGAATCCTGTTTTTCCTTAGGAACTGTGGGCGTCTGTGCCAGCCTGTCTTTGGCAAGTGTGGAGCAATGGAGGGAAGAGGGTGAACAGAGAGCATGCCCAGACTCAGGACAGTCCCCACTGCTGAGGGACCCTCGTGTGGACCCCAGGGCCTGGCACAGGTAAGCACTTTTTTTTTTTAATGTCTTGGGAAGGTAAAAGCCCATCTGGCCAACTTGTTCGCCTGACTCTGACTTCCCAGCATATGTGCCCAGGAGCTGTTCACAGCTGTGGGAAGTTTTCTATGGTGAAAACTTCACCATAGAAAAGTTTTCTATGGTGCAGGTCAGTTAAGTAGAACAAAATTCTAGCCTTTGGTATAGCGACGCAGCATATTCCTGAAGGAAGGGTCCGTGGTGGCTCCAGTCAGCTCCCACATGAAATGGGGACAGGCCCGAGGATGGTCAGAAAGTACAGCAAACATCAGCCGGGCTGTCGGGTTACTCGATCTGGGCAGATTTCCAGCCCTGGGGGTGGGGGAGGGCGTGGGGCGAGCTGGCGTGGCAGCATATACATAGAGAACGCTCTATAGCGGGCACACTGGAATGTGTGTGCACGGAGGCATGAAACCCCAAACAGAGGACTCTTTGGGCTGGATTGTAGCAGGGCAAGGTGGGAGCCCAGACGGCGGTAGGGGGCAGGGGCTGGAGGGGGAAGCCTTTAGAAACTGGCTTCACCACCTCGGCACAAGGTGGGCTTTGTACACGGTGGGTTAGAGTGACAGTCTTGACACGAGTCCCTGTGAGCCAAGGCAAGCAGGCCTCTAGTTGGATGTTTTGCCAAGCACTTTCAGCTGAGCCTTCCATAAAGATTCTCCTGGTGGAGGGCCTCCTTGGGGCCAGTGAGCAGAACCAAGACCAGCCATGAAGGGGCGACCCGCCGTGAAGGGCGACCCGCCTCAGCAGCTGGCTCCCTGCAGACACACGTGGACGCAGCTGAGGTCTCTCTGGCTTATGGGGACAGACACCTGCTCCTGAAACAGTCGTGAGGCATGGAACCTTTGGCCCTTCGAGCTGATCTGGTTAAGCGCCCCGTTGCCCTCCTGTCCCCTAGGCTGGGGCTCATCTGTCTGGTTCTGGCTGGCCAAAGACCTTCCTCCTGCCCACACCACTCAGGCAGGACACCATCAAGCAGTTGGCCTAAAGAGCCAGAAAGACCTGTCGCTGGAGGAAGGCCCAGCGGGGAGGTGCCATGAAGGGCAGGCTGCAGAGAGAGCCCATCAGGCTTTACTGTCAGAAGCCCCTGCCACTGTGGCGCTTCTTTGCCGGACAGTGCAGAGGGAGGGCAGGAAAAGGTCTGGTCAGGTGACTCCCCCACTCTAGTATGAAGGCACCCTCCTCAGTGGCTGCGCATGGCATCACAGCCACAGCGAGGGAATCAAGACTACTAAAACCACAACCGGCAAACATCTCTCCTGCACACCTCTCCTCCAGGCGGCCCAACACAGGAAGGCGCAGCCTCTTGCTTGGCATCCCAGAAAAATCGTGCTTTGGGGGAAAGGTGGGTCACTCACTCTGGCCCTGGGCAGCATGTGGGTTTCTACTGGACAGCCCCAAGTGGCTGCTTAGGCTACTGGACCCCAGGACAGTTGAGGGCACGTGGCACCATGACAGGGACGGTCAGCTCTAGTGCTCAGGGCTGGCACAGGGCAAGCTTGCTCCTCAGCACTGCCCAAGCTCAGCCCTGTGGGAGGGGTGCCACACACAGCCACGGTAAGGCAGAGGGTGCCGGATAACCACCAAATGCAGAGACGGCCCAGGGCCCAGGTCTCGCCATGTCTGGGTCCATGCCTATACTCTCATCTCTGGTGCTTACGGAGGAGAAAGCTGGGGAGACACAGGCCTTAGGAAACCACAAAGACTAGCACCCACTGACTATGCTGCCAGGGAAGGAGGTGGGCCAGGGCTCCTGGAAAGAGGGCTGCAGGGCATTCTGGGAGGGCCCGTGGAGAGAGGGCTGCAGGGCATGCTGGGAAGCCTAGTGCCTTGATCTGACAGCACAGGACGTTCTACTCCTTCTTACCCATTGGCCCATGGGGCTCCCACTCAGCAGGAAGTACGAAGCCTGTGTGAGGCCAGGCAGGTCTGGCAGCTGGGCCACACTGGTCACTGGACTAGTGTGTCCATCTGAATCATGGTACCTGGGGGCCAGGAGGTGTGCTGAGGCTCCTGGAGGACGGTGTCTGTGACTGTGTGCGCGTGTACACGGTCTATGCTGGTGTGTGCCTATATGAGAATCTGTTTGTAACATGTGCCTGGTATGCGCATGTTCACGCTTCTGTGTACCCAGATGCACAGCTAGCCACGGATGTGCACATGCCCACTTATGTGTTGGTGTGTGCTTGGGTGTACACTCCCGTATGCACATCTGCATGTCCACGTGCCTGGTGTGAACACATATGCGCACACATCCACATGAGGCGAAAGGCACACGCACCTTATCTGGAAAATCTGAGAAAAGCTAACAGGAGACTGCTCTTACCCTTATCTTAATGAGGCTAATTTTTTCAGTTCCTAAAACACATATAGAAACAGAAAGCCTTGGGACCAACAGGACAAACAAAGACAGACAGGCAGGCCCGTGCTTCCTACTGGGACAGCCAGTGTGTCCTACGCTGCCTTTCCAGATCCCTGGGCTGGGCAGGCTGGTGGACCCTTGCTGGCCCCACACACCACCACATCAGTCCAAGCTCCCCTCCGAGGTCACACCTCTCTGTGCAGGGCTGGCCGGGGTGTGAGTGGGACATCGGGCCACATATGTGAAGTAGACGCAGTAGCTCGCCAGCAGGTCCGCCCCAGTCTGCAGGGCAGGAGAATGGAATGGAAACATTTGCAGAGCCGAGGCCAGAGGCGCTGGACCGGCTGAGTCCTGCCAGAAGGGGGCCCAGCTGAGGGGATGAGGCCAGGTGGGGCCTGCAGGGCGGTGCACACTGGGCCGGGCACAGGAACCCACCTCTCAGGGCATCGCTGGCTTGCTGCACGGCAGCTGATGTCCACCGCACAAGCCACACTGTTCGCAGGCTCCTGGGCCCTCAGCTGGCAGTCTGGGGCAGCACAGCAAACCTGTGATTCCTCAAAGGACGCAGCCTGAGGCTGATGTGTCTGTGGAGGCAGGGAGCCAGCACATTCTTACATGACCTGTGCCTCTGCCCAGTACGCTGAGGCCACCTGACCTGCTGCACCACAAACACATAAGGCCACCCATGCTGCCCGTGGGTCACACAATAGTCTCACGCATTTCTGTCTCACCTGCTGGCAAGATCTGTAGAATAAGTGTGGCTTGGAAGGGTCTGTAAGAGCATTGCGTGCCCACGTGGGAAGGCTTTAGAAAATGCCCTGGGCCGCGCCCCTCCAATTTTCCTCCCCACCCAAGCAGTGCTGGGCCACACTTCCAGGAGCCACTCGGAAGGGCTATTTACAGAGTGATGGCCAAGAGCCATTGTAGGGACACAGCATTCCCAGACGCTGGCCTTGGGGGGCTCCCGAGGGACGCAGGGCTGACCTTGGCAGCCCTTCCGTGGCGCTCGGGAGGCCCCGGGTTCTCAGCCTGAAATGTGTCCATGGAGCGCCTGTCCCTCTTCTGTGCTGCCGCTCTAGGTCCTTTAAGGAGGTGGCTTGGGCTGTGGTAGGAAAGTAGGATGGTGTACCCTGGAAGGCTGGTGACCTCACCTGACCCGAGCGCTAGCGGCACTGCACAGAGCAGCTACGTCAGAGCCACTGTCTAGCGCTGTGTGGACGTCTCAGCGACAGGAAGAAATTACCAGTGGAGCAGGCAGGGACAACCGGGGCACACCGTGCTGGAGAGGCTGGCACCTCACGAGCACAGAAACATACCATGTGCTATTCAGGACAGGTCAGAGCTGCAGCAGATAAAGCAGATAAATGGCTGCTGCCGCTGGGTGCCAAGGGCGGCAGCGAGGGAGCTGTGTCAGGGCTGTGGCCACATTCAAGGCGGTGCCTGCCAAGAAGAGTGTGTGTCATTTCTACAGATTCTTCAAAATGGCCTCAGGGAGAGGTTCACGTTCTCTGCCAAACGAGGCTGGGCTCCCAGTGGTGTTAGCTCCCAGGCTGGCCCAGGCGAACTAAGCAGGGCCTGGCTGTCCTCCCACACAGGAACTGAGGTCCAAGTGCAATACTAGACAGAAGTACAGCACAGAGCTAGTGCAGAGCAGTACTCAACGAGAACGCAGGGAGCCAAGCTCGGGCTGGCTTCCCCTTGCAGCCCCGAGGCCTCTCTCGCCCTCTCTCCATCCCATCTGGGGCTGACAGTGGAGGACGGGGAGGGAGTTGAGGAACTGTCAAGGTTACAGAGAAACTCAGGACACAGGGTGCCAGGAGAAGGCTGGAGACGGAAGCGTAGATTGTGGAAGGTTTGACAGTAGAGGCCTTGTCGGGTAGAACATGGCAGTAAAGGGGCCAGGTGGTCCCAGGTGCTGGCTAGGTCTGACGGCACGTGACCATGGGCTCCCGAGAAAGGATGGACCCACCTGACCTCAACAAAGACAGGGCCAAGGATGGTAGCCGGATGCGTGGCACACAGGGAGGTCGCACCGCATGAAGTAGGAGGCTCCTGGCTACTCCCCAGGACAGGCCTGGGGCGCTCTGCGGGCCAGTGAGGGAGATATGTTCAGTGTGCATGGGTGTCCAGTCACTCCCAAGGGACGAAAGCACAACATGTCACTTCTGTGAGGCCCTCAAGGAGCAGGGCTGGGTACAGGAAGCAGGGACCCCAAGCATGGCTGTGTGTGACAGTGTCCACCTCTCAGCAATCCATCCTTGCCTTTCGCATTCCCAGCTGGGAAGGGGTGTAGGTACCCAGCACATAGCTGGAATGCTGAGACCCGAGACCTGAGGTGATGAAGCCGGAATACCACCCTGTGTGGGCCCAGATGGCACGCAGGACCTGAGCAAGGCTCCTCCACTCGGGTGGCAGGGTGGACGAAATCACACAGGGACCAGAGGCAGGCCACAGCCAGAGAGAGGCAGATCTGATGGATAGCCAAGGACGCAGTGCCAGCGGCACGCCACACACTCGGGACACGGAACGGCTGCAGGGATACATCAGCTGTCGGCTCAGCAGCTCTGCTTCTGACCGTGGTCAGAGATCACAGGATGACTTCCCATTCCACCTCACAAGACAGACTTCAAATTGCTTCCTCCAGGGCCAGCCATGACTCTTCATTTCCACGCCGCCGGCTCCATAAGCACCGGCAGCTGGAAGCCATCATGGCCACGGCTGTGTCTTTTCAGACTGAAAAAGATAGATACGACGAGGGGCCCACAGGGCCCCGGGGAGAAGCAAGGGCAGGCGGCGGCAGTGCCGTTAACACCGGAACACCTCAGACTCATCAGATAAGCCCAGTCCAGTGTGGCATCACGGGGCCAGGAACAGTCACCTTCCTGCTCCTTGAGACACCTGGCGAGAACTGTCCTCTGGGCCTGAAGACAGACAGGCTGAACATGAAGGCACGGTCCAGCAAGTGACCTGATGACTGTGTCGGTGTCCTTTAGCCTAGAGCTTAAGAGGCCTGTGGACAGGCAGGGGCTGGCGTGGACTCCAGACTCTATAATAGTGTGCACAGTGAAATGATCAAAATTAGCTTAAAAAAAAATTACAGGGGCTGGGGAGATGGCTTGGTGGTTTAAGAGCACTGGCTACTCTTCCAGAGGACCTTGGTTCGATTCCTAGCAACCACATGATGGCTCACAACCGTTTTTAACTTAAGTCCGGGGATCTGACACCCAGTTCTGATATCAGCGGGCACCAACCACAAACATAGTACATAGACATACACACAGGTAAGTGATAAAAAACCTCTAAAAGCAAAGAGCCTGGGGCCGGCTCAGTGGCTGAGAGTGCTGGCTGCTTTCCTGAGTAACCCCAGTTCCAGGGAAGACGCCCCGCTCCCCTCTGGTCTCCTCAGGCACATGCACTTGAGCGCACACACCACACAGCATAAAGACTCCCGCCCGTAAATTCTCCCTGGGAGAAGACTCTCTCCATCCCCCTCGACACACAGCACTCTCCCCAGCCCGTCCCCCCTCCATGTTTTGTATATACAACAGCTGTTGTGGCCTGTGGTTTCTGCTATTGTACAGAAGCACAGATTCTTTACATGTCATAGTGGGAGGCATGGCAGCAAGCAGCAGGCACCTGAGGTACAAGCATGAGACAGGGAGGGGAGGGAGGGAGGGGGAGGACACAGGGGAAGGAAGGGAGAAGGGAGGGAGAGGGAGGGAGGGGGAGGGCACAGGGGTAGGAAGGGAGAGGGGAGGGTAAAGGGGGAGGGAAGAGGAAGGGGAGGAAAAGTGAGGGAGAGGGGAAGGGAGGGAGAAGGAGAGAGACAGGAAGGGAGGAGGAGGAAGAGGGGAGGGAAGGAGGGGAGGGAGAGAGGGGAGGGAAGGAAGAGAGAAAGCAAACTGAAAGTGGGGCTAGGCTTTCTCCCCTCAGAGTGAGCCCTCAGTGACATGCTTCCTCCAGCAATGCCATAACTCCTAAGTCTCCCCAAACAGCATCACCAACGGGAACCAAGTATTCAGATGCCTGAGCCTAAGGTAGACCACCGCAGATCTACACAAAGCCTCAGTCTGTAAACAGAGCCGGGGCATCACGGCAGATTACAGCCATACTGTGTGCATCAGCCAGCCCAGGCCAACACACACACACACACATACACACGCACAGACATGTTGACCATCTTCAGAGCAAACAAAAGCTGGCTTTGGAGAGAGGCCAGCCTTCAGGAACCCCATTAAAATTATGGCTCCTTTTATCGCCCTCAACCTCCTTTGAACAAACAGCAATACTATTTCCTAGCCTTCACTACTATTTAGTTCAATTTTTACAGGGAGGAAGGGGCCATTTGTGTGGAAACAAAATTATTTCATTTACCAAAGATGGACCGGCAGAGCGCTGGGGCTGTCAGCATCCTTATTTAATGCTCTGCCCAGGAATTTACAGCTACTGAGGGAGTTCTAGCCAATAGGACGGGAGGTCTGGCCACCCCAGGGAACTCCCACAACATCCCATCCTCCATGACACGCCAATCTGGTTTCTAGAACAAGGTCTCTACAAAGGTCAAACCCAGCCTGAACCTTCTAGAATGTCTAAGAGTCTTAAAGGCAAAGGCCCGCCTGTACCCAGCAATGTCGGCAGGGACTGGTGACTCAGTGCTGAGGCCCCCAGGACCCTGCTCCTGGGCCACAGTTAGCCGCTGAGCAGCAGCGGGGTCCTCGTGGGTCAGCGGTGAGGGCGCCTGGGGCTTCTCGCTCCACCCTGCACCTGTGAACACCAGGCCTGTTGGCGATGTCTGACCTGAGACCTTGCTCTTGACACCAAGCCTGTCCCCGACATCCTCCATTCCTGCAGGCTGGCCCTCACTGGGCCAGCCACGAGGCCACACAGCATGCGCTTCTGTTGCAGGTCTGACAGCTCTCCTGAAGATGGACCGCCACAACATGTCCTGGGTGCGCTACCCGAGCCAGGTGTCCCCGGCCGTGGAGGACGTCATTGCGGCACAGAGCGTCACCTCTAGGTGCACGCATGTCTACGTGGCAGTGTGTGTCCCGCTGAGCCTGGCGGCAGGGCTCTTCAGTCTGAGCGTGTTCATCCGGGACCGTGCTAGGCTGGGGGTGCTGGACAGGCTCCTTGCGAGCCTCACGGTCACCAGCATCTTGGTGACCCTACTGTCCCTCAGCGCTGCTACCCGGCCTGACTACATGCACACGACAAACCTGGGCTGCGGGGCGCTCTCATTCTTCTCCAACGTCTGCTACTTCACAGCCCAGTACCTGCAGGGAGCCACGCTTGCCCTGACCCTTCTGCCGGGATCTTCGGGCTGCCGGCTCTTGGCGAGGCCTGTGGCAAGCCTCGCTGCCATCGGGGGCTGTGCTGTCTGTAGCTCGCTCGTCCTGGTGTCCCTGCTGGGCACATCTGGGGAGCTGCACACGACTGCCATGTGCCAGGTGGACCCGCTGACTGCATGGCCGGAATACGAGATTGTCAAGTTCAGTCTGGGCTTCGCACTTGCTCTGACCTTCCAGGTTGGTCTCTTCTTCCTGCGGGCCATGAAGCCGGCCTGGCGGGTGGCTCCGGCTCAGGGGGACACGGCCTCTGGGCGCTGGGTGGTACTGGCCGTGGCTCTCAACATGCTTGCCTGCAGACTCTTCTCCAATGCGGTCCTCCTGCATCGGGCACAGCTGAAGCTTCGGAAGGACGTCGGCGCCCCGAGGGATGAGCTGCTCATGAACCTCGCCGAGCTGGCCCTGTCTGCCGAGAGCTGCAACAACTCCGTGGCCGTCGCCCTCCTCCACACACCATGCCGGCTCCGACTGCTGGGCCTGCTTGAGCGCCTCACGCAGCGATGCCGGCAGGGGCTGGACAACAACATGGCCTTGAACAGAGTAGGGGGCTAGACAGAGCCTGCCTGCTGGCGCAGGCCACGGCCCTCGCCGGAGTGTTCCCTGAGAGCTTGAGCAGGGTCAAGGGCTTCGGATGGTGCTTACAGAACACTGGCATGTCTGTCCTCACCTCCACCTATGCAAAACAAGAGTTTCTCTTCCCAGACCAACAGTCAGAGCTTGAGGGACATGGTGACGTGGGCTGACCAAGGGCCATGGGTCTGCCGGAGGGTGCTCTGACTATAACACCCACATGTAACCACCTCGCCCGCTGGCTCCATTCAATAGATGCGTCTGCCGACATAGGAAAGGTGCGGTGGGAATAAACACAACTCTAACGTTTCGTTTCTTGAGACAGGATCTCCCTACAGCCTCGGATGGTCTAGACTCTGAATCCCCCTGCCTCAGCCTCCCTAGTGCAGGGACTACGTCATCACACCTGGCTTCTTAGTCACTCTGTAGGGATGTTACATTCTGGCCCTACGCAGCTGTTGCCAGCTGGCCTTCACGTGCCCGAGAATTTGGGCAACAGAATTCCTGCCAAAAACCTTCTTTGGGTTCACCTTTTAAAACCTCGTCATCGCTGGGGCTGGAGAGATGGCTCGGCAGTCAGGAGCCCACTGTGTTCTTGCTGTGTTCAGTTCCAGCAGCCCCCTCTACCTACTCCAGGGGGAGCCAACGCTTTCTTCCACGGGTACTTGCACTCATGTGCAAATACCACCACACACATACACACGAGAATTCATGCATGCACGCACACATGCACAGTTTAAAAGAATGCAAATACACCTTTAAGAAATTCCGTCATAATCACTGGCTTGTCAAAGCTGTCACCCATAAGTAAAAGGTCACATCCAGTGACAACAGTGTCACAGTGGCTGCTGAGAGGTCCAGAAAGCCCCATGTTGGAAGTCTGGTCATCAGCGGGGTTCTGTGAGAAATTTGTAAGAGGGGAAGCCCAATGGCCAACGGCCCCAGGCCGTCCCCTGGCCTCTTCCAGGCTCTCTGTATCAATGTGTGATCTCTTCTGTCCAGTGTGCTGTTCCCACTGTCCCACAGCTCCTCCCACCGTCCCATCAGCTCCTCCTACAATCCCATCCATACCCACTGAGACCCGTGACCCCATCCTTTCTTCCACCACCACAATTCCTTCCGGTCCCACCGGGACCCCTTCAGCTCACACCACTTCAGCCACAGTTCCATCTGCCCCGGCTACGCTTCATCTGCTGTGCCAGAACCCAGCAAGGGCCTTGCAGAGACTAGCCTGGCGGGCTACCTGAGCTTAGATTGCCAACTGCTGAGGCTGTCAACTACCAAGACCCTTCTTTATGAAGTAAGTCCCCAGCCTCAGCTATGTTGCCAGAGCAAGGAAAAGTTGACTAAACGTCCACACTCCAAGACATCTCTGCCCTCTGGCTAGAGAGGGGCAGCCCTCTGGAAGCTCTGGGTTAGCTCAGCACACAGCCAGCCATCAGCTGCCCCTGGACCAGCCTTGTAGACCCTCTCTCCACTTGCATTCGATGGAGCCAGAGTTGAGCTGACTGCCATGCAGGTTCTGGGGTGCTCTCCCCATGTGGTGCCCTCTTCTCCAAGTGTTGTACCCAAAAATACCAACTCACCCACCCTTCCAGAAATCCCGTCTCTGTCCCCTCCGCTGACCACACACAGCCTGTCCCGCTCCTCTCAGACCTCCTTCCTGTTCTGTGGCCCAGAGGATGCGTTGGGCAGGAAGCTGGCAAACCAGGGCATGATCCTGTTGGGACTGAATTCTGCATGGCGGGTCCTCCTGGTGTCACAACAGCCATCTGACATTTGGCCAGGTTCTTGGGGGCTCCTCACATTCACACTGGCAGATGTGGAGGCTGCTAAGTTAATTTATAAACACCTGCCACGATGGATGACCATCGTGGCTCGGAAGAAGAGAGGCGGCACCCTCCACCCCCACCCCCACGTGTGCTCACGCTACTGGGAGCAGTGGCCCAGGGCAGGGGCAGAAAACAGGACAAGCCGCAGCCTCAACCCACTAAGCTCCGCAGCACTCCAGGATTTAGAAATCTGACCACAAAAAGGTGCAGTGACAGCTTTCAAAGGGTGGGATCCTGGTTTTTCAGCTGCAGAGTATAGTCCAGAGACAACCTCAGTGTCATTTTTCACAAAGTGTCCAGCATTTTGTTAAGGTTTATTTATCTTTAGTGTCTGTATATGGGTGTTTTGGCTGCATATGTGGCTGTGTCACCTGTGTGCAGTGCCTGAGGAGGCCAGAAGAGGGCGCTGACCTCCTAGGACCGCAGATGGTTGTGACTGGCCATCTGGGTGCTGGGTATTGAACCCGGATTCCCTGAAAGAGCAGACAGTGCTCTTAACCTCTGAGCCACCTCTCCAGCCCACTGCCCCCTGTGGCCCTGAAATCTGCCTATTAGGTTAGGCTGGTTGGCCAGCGAGCTCCAGAGATCCACTGTGCCTCCTTGGCACTGGGACTACAACGTAGGCCACCACACCTGACTTTAGAAAGTTCCGGGGAGCCAGGGATGGGGGCCAGTGGATGGCGGTGGCAGTTCAGGCCTTTAATCCCAGCACTCAGGAGGCAGAAGTAGGCAGATCTCTGTGAGTCAGAGGCCAGGCTGGTCTATAGAGTGAGTTCCGGGGTAGCCAGGGCTACACAGAGAAATCCTGGGGTCGGGAGGGCAGTTTCCAGGGGAGCCAGCGCCCTCTTCTGGTCACCTCAGGTACTGCACACACGTGATGCAGCCCTTCGCGTGCAAGCAAAAACACCCGCCTGCATTAAGTAGATAGCTATTTACTCGTTTTTATTATTGTACAGACGCACACACAGCACACCTGTGAGGACCTGACGACAACCTGCAGAACTTGGTTCTCTCCTTCTACCATGAGGGGACAGGGACTTAACTCAGGGCATCAGGCTTGGCAGCAAATGCTTTGGCCTGCTGAGCCCTCTCCAGCTACACCTGATTTTTGTGCATGGGGTTTGGAGATCAAACTCAGTTTTCCTTGCAAGGACTTTACTGACTGCGTTCTCTCTCTAGACCTAGACTTCCGTGCTTTAAAAAGACAATAAGCTGGGTGTGGTGGTGCATGTCTGTGATTCCAGCACTCGATTCAGTCGGCTCAACTAAAAGGATCTGAGTCCAAGGCCTGCCTGGGGTACATATAAAGACCCTGCCTTAAACAAAACAATGACACCAATAAAAACAACAAAAATGGAGTGGAGGCTCCAAACAATTAAAACCTCGGAGATCTGATTGGGGGAGGGGCTCCAGTGTTGGAGCAGCAAGAGGCTGTAAGCTACACCAAGGCCCTATGAGAAAGATCCTGAGCCAGTCTCCCCAGCAAGCCCTAGCCCGGGTTAGGCCCGCTAGATTCTGTCTTTCTGTGTCTTGGCCTGGCCATATACCCATTATGTCATAAACTCTTAATAACTACTAAGAGCAAGGAAGGGTCTTTCTACCTGAGGAACCGAGAGGAAGCTCTAGAGCAAAGGAGACATCTCAGATGTAGGTCTCAGGGCTGAGTCAGGGCAAGGGTGCAGGAAATCTCAGTGTTGACGGAAACCTGGAACTGATCGTGAGGGGGAGAGACCCCCGTGGAGGCCACGTCTCTGTCTACGAAGGGACCCACCTCCAGCACTCCTTCCCGAGCCTGACTCCACTACCACACCCGTGTGTCAGTGTCCCCCTGAATAGTACGCAGGGGCCCTCCGCTGCCATCTGCACTCTGAGCTATACACACTCAACTTCTGGTTGTCAACACTCTCCAGGAATCAAAGGAAGCAACCAGAATGCTCCCGGCAACCGTGAAAGGGGCCCAGCTGTCAACACTGTGAAGCCACCGAAACGGCTCCCTGCGGGCACATGGCTGTGAGTTCTGGGCGCTGGAGGAAGGGGGGGGGGGCAGGTGGCAGCTGCAGGGCCGGGCTAGGACACGCTCCTGGGGCTGTAAATTCCTTCCCACATTGGAAGATAAGGCTACAGAGCTGGCTTTTTCTGGGAAACAGCCCAGATGGATGGGGATGGCACCTGGAGTGCGCACCTGGGATGTCTGCCTGGGGGAGGCCTCCCGAACCACACAGGACCAGGACCACAGTGCCTCGATGCCTGCAGGGCAGAGACGCCCACTCCACAGCCCCGGGCCAGGCCCATCTGGATCCTGGTGAGGGTGCCTCCCTTGAGGTGTGGTTTTCCTGGCCACCATCTCACGAGAGTTGGGGAGGCTGAGTCACAGCTGGGCACCGAGCCTGACACAACAGCCTTTCCAGGCCAGCGTGAGCAGACAGGGCACAGCGAGAGCAGCTTGGCCTCGGCCTCCCACGCTGGTCAGTGGTACCTGACCGGCGGGACCCAGCCAGGCGCTCAGCCTCCAGCTCTGGTTCTTCCTTCATAAAGAAGATGCCTGCCTCTTGCCCACTAAACACTTACATATCTGAGTCCAGTGTTAACTGTCCTGAAGCACCCAGTGCTGCAGAGTTAGAAGTCAGCGACGTCTCCAGGCCGGGGCTGGAGCTCCTGCCTCTCCTGAGTCTGGACAGCTAAAGACTGGGGTCCGGGGAGATGCTGGTGAAGATGCGTGGGGAGCTGACCCCAGATCCACAGCACCACACAGAAAGCTGTGTGCAGCGTCGCACGCCTACAGCCCGGTGCTGGGAGTGGAGACGGGCGGGGTGCCCCTGACTCTCATTGGCTGGCCAGCCTAGCCGGGTCAGCAAGCTCTGGGTACACTGAGAAATCCCATCTCAAAAACTAAGGTGGGCAGTGACGGAGGAAGCACTGGGCATAGGCCTCTACACAGGCACACAAGCATAACACACTCCAAACACACAAACATATACACAGAATGCATGCAAGGGTTGCAGACTGGAAGCACACGGGCAAACTTCTCCAACACCTGTGCTGTGTTCCCCGACCTACGCGGCCTGGCACTTCAGGGGCAAGGCAAGCCCCGTGAGCAGGTCCTACACATGCTTTTGATGGGCAGACTGCCTCGCAGTTAGGACCCAGAAGCGCCAAGAGTACTGCCGGCTGGCTCAAATAAATGGCTGTCACTCTGGGGTCCTAACAGGTGGCTGTCTAAGAGGGAGGGTGGCCTCAGCGACAAAAGGAAGCTACCTGCCTCACTCCCAAGAAAATGGAAAGGTTATCACCTGTGGGTGTCGCAGAAGAGCTATGAATGTGTCCAACACACTTGTTGGTGATTACAGTGTCAAAGGGCCTCTGCAGAGCCGGCTCACGCCATATCCAGGTGACCACCGAGCGGTGGGAAGGGAGCCAGGCAATGGTGCGCACTGGCCGTGCTCAGAGTCTGGAACCATGCCCCCTGAGGGGTCTTACCGTCAAGCAGGAGGTGATGCTAGACGCTCGAGGTGCCAGGGCTCCTGTGTGCTGCGGAAGAGGGCAGGAAGACCAACAGAGAGAAGCGGGGGGAGGCGGGCCCAGCACTGGGGGACTACGGGTCCCTGGAGGCACTCTGGACCCTGACCTGCGTTGTGTGCTGAGGAGCTCCTGGGAGGGGTTTCTGAGGTGAAAACAAACGGCGCCTGCTCCTCATATGTGAGCCTGTCTGTCTACTGAATAGGTGTGGGCCCATCACACCGGGCTTCCTCTCAAGTCTCTCCCTTTTGCCTGGAGTCACACGTCAGGGGTGAATTCAGCAGCCGGGGCCCTTCCTTGCCTGGTACACCAGCCAGTGTAGGTTCCTCAGACACAACATCATTATAACCAACTGTAGACGCACACACAGAACTCATTACTGAGCCCACGCAGACATCCACCCCGTGTGGGAACAAGCAGATCAGAAAGGACATGAGCATGGCTGGCGCAAGGGCAATGGCCCCGGCCCAGACTCAGCCACTGGCCTTGCCTTCTCCTACAAACGCTCACACTGTGTCCCTCAGGCTCTGGCCTCCGTCAAGAAACCAAGCCAGAGGCAGCCCAGCTCTGAAGGAGGGCTCACCGAGACTCCACTGGAGAGCACTGTGGGGCAAGTGCAGAGGAAGCCCTCACTAAACACTGTACCGCTGTACTGATGGAACCTTCTTCAAGGCCGCTCTCATTCCTATCCATGCAAAAACCCCTTCTGCCTGGGTCCTGCCCTGCCTGTTAGCACAGTGATGGACACAGGGCATGGCTGCCTGCTAGGTTAAAGGGAAGGCTGGGCTTAGGGTGGGACGCCGCCGGACACTTGAGCTTCGAAGCCTGCACCTGTGCATGGTGTCAGAGCACCTCAAGGGACCCCAAGAACCCAGAAGCAGTGAAGGCCCTCTCGGTGCTCCAGCACCACGGAACCCCAAGCACGGGCTTACAAGAGTCGGGAATTTTTAAGGGAGCAGCTATTTTTAAGTGGCACGCCTTGGCTATTTCAAGGCTTGGGTCTCGGTTTTATTTATTTGATTCAAAAGGAAGCTGTGTTTTTTCATGATCTGTTTCTTTCAAGACGGTGTCGCAGGCGTGTTTTAATGTTGACGTCATCCCGACTCGGCAAGCTGGTCACAGGATACTGAAGGGCCGATGGGCTCTTTATCCTGCCGCTCAAAGGAGGAAAAGCTAAAGCCCTAATTGGGTCTTCTACGGCTCGAAGGGGCCCCGATTTAGTATTTTTCCATTAAAAATAAAAATTTTAATGGAATTCTGCTTAAAGATCTGTACATTTCCAAAAATACACGTCCCAAAGATTCTAAGCCAGTAACCTATAAAAACCCACCAAGCATGTCTGCAGCAGGAGGCTAGGCCCGCAGGCACAGGACAGCAGAGCAATGTTCCCTAGTCTCCCCCAAAGCTGTCCGCACGCAGGTAACGGCTTCATTTTTAAAAAATCATTTTATGTGTACGAGTGCTTTACCTGTATATGTGTCTATGTACCACCTGTGTGCCTGGCTCCTGGGGACCGAGAGGGAGCAGGTCCCCTAAGACTGGAGTTAGGGATGACAGCCAGCCACCATGCGAGTGCTGGGAACGGGACCGTGTCCTCTTCAACTTTAACTGCTGAGCCATCTCCAGTACCTGCTTCTTCCTGCTGCATACAGGTTCCCTCTGGGGGAGCAGCGCATGGAGGTTCTGCTGTCCTCAGCCAGCAGAAGCATGCAATACTCATGCTCAGACACAAATGCCCGCCCAAGGTACTCACATCACAGCTCCAGGACGACAGCACAGGGGCTGCGCTGAGGGGAGCGCTGGAGGGAAAGCCCGAGGGGGGCCGCACTGAGCAGCTGAAGGGGGAGCCCTGGGGGCGGGGGGCCTCTGCCAGCCTAGTGAGCCCCGGCCCATGAGAGACCCTGCCTCAAAAAAAAAAAAAAAAAAAAAAAAAAAAAAAAAAGGGGGGGGTGGAGCGATAGCTCAGTGGATAAGAGCATTGTCTTCTTCTCCTAGAGGTCCTGAGTTCAGCTCCCAGCAACCACGTAATGGCTTACCACCATCTGATGCCCTCTTCAGACAGAACACTCATCCATAAAATAAACAAATAAAAATCTTAAAAAAAAAAAAACAACCAAGGTGGACAGAACCCGAGGAATAACAAGTGAGATTCTCCAGCCTCCACACACATGCACATACATGAACACGCACACACACTCAGATCAAAAGGAGAACGTTCAGATGAGACCAGTTAACTCTCAGTTATTATGACTACCAAATACCTTGACTGGGGAGCTCAGGTGGGGGCTGCCTGAGGCCTGGCCACGGGTGAAGGCCCCTCCCCGGCACCGGTCTCTGCTCCAGGCAATGCTGTGGATGAAAGTCCAACAACCGGAAGGGGGGGGTGCTTGGGGATGACAGTCAGTGACAAGGTCGAGGGACCCTCTAGCCTGGGTCTCCCCAACCTTAGCTGTACAACTAGAAACAGAGAAGACAGGCGGCTCAGCGGACCCTGGACCCAGCTAACAGCAGAGCAGAAACCCACCTGGAGTCCTAATTTCTGATGAAAACGGGCTTCCCGCCGCAGCATCCATGGGAGAATGGTAGCTGGCACTCACTGTGCCTCTGGAGCCCTACCAGGCTGACTGAAGAAACTCAGTGTTCAGTTTTAAAGTCAGCAGCAGCTAAAACAAGCGAGGGCACCATCGCTTGCTTCAACAAACGAGGAAGGATTCTTAGACAACATATATTATAATACTTCGTATTTCAAATAAATTTGTCAGTGGGTGAAACACAGCAGCCGCACTGGAAACTTCCATAAACTACGTGTCCAGTGGGACCGTTTTCACTGTGTACATGCGGGAGGAAAAAAACAGCCAGCAGAAAAATGGTTAATGCTAGCCTTCAAAGGAGGCTGGCCACAGCCCAGTGAGTAGGCTTGGGAAGTCTATAAAGGAGGCGCTGTGCCAAGGGGGCCAGACGCTGCTGCTGGACAGCCACAAGCATCTCGAGCCTGCTCCCTTCTCGGCAGGTCTCTCTCCTTGGCCTCTCCCGCTGAACCCCTGCTGGGTGTCATGCCCAAGCTGCTGCACGCCCAGGGTCAGGCCCCTGTGGGCGAGCTCCAGGTGCACCTCCAGGAGATGGACCAGTGACACCGTGGCACAGGTAAGATTCACCCTTGTGCCCAGGTTCCGGGCCTGCGTCTGGCTGGGCACCTCTCGCTGTGGTGGGACAGGAATGGTGGAAGAGCGGGCACTCCTCAGCCTCCAGGGACAGCATGCTCGGTGTGGCCAAGGCTGGGGTTCTGCCCGGTGCGGGCAGCAGCGCGCCCAGCTACACCCCGTAACAGCACGTTGCTGCCGCTCTTGGTCTGCCAAGGGAGGCTTGGTGGCTTAGAACTGTTCCAGGGACAGGGGCCTCGCAAAGCTTGCAGAAACCTGGCCTGTTTCCCCAGACCTGGACACACAACAGAAAATCGGGACACTAACACTGATCACTGGACTAACTGAGCAGCAACTTAGAGGAAGGACAGAACCTAGGGTGTCGCTTCCGCCATGCTCCCACCAGAATGGCTGGTCAGGTCCAGGGAGCAAGCTGCCTGAGGGCTCTGCCCCCCCCCCTTAAGCTGTGGCCTCTGAGTGCCAACATTTACACACTCTGGGAGGGTGCTTTAACATTTGGAGGTTTTGTCTGTATGTTTGGGGGCAGGGTCTCACTACGGAGCTCTGACTAGCCTGAAACTCACGACATAGCCTGGGCTGGCCTTGAACTTAGAGCTCCCCGTGTCTCTGACTCCTTTGTGCTGGGATTAGCGTGTGCACCGGGCCCAGTTGTCTGAAGGGAGGCCCTCCGCACTGTAGGTGGACTGTAGAGTGGCGCTTCTGTGGCTCAGATGGGCGCGACCCTGAAGGATGGGTTGCCCACATACACCCACACTTCCAGGCCAGGATGTGGCCATGGCACTGAGCGGCCCCTCCTTCTTGTACTTTAAAGAATCAGGACTTCGGGAGAAAGGCCAATACACCTCTGGCTTGCTCTTGCTTCACCTCAAAACCAAATTCATCCCCGTGAGGAAAGCAACAGAGATGCATTTCCAGGAGCCAAGCCTGTTGGCTTTATCTTACCCTGACCGTGTGTGAGGAAGCTGGCTAGGAGCTGCGCCGCCCAGGGCAATGCGGACACTGAGTAGCATTCTGGCTTCCCCCAGCACACTCCCACACAGTGACAGCCCGGGTCTCCAGTCACTGCCAGTGCTGCTGAAAACCCGGGCCACCCCACAGAGAACGCTGGAGCACAGAGGCCAACAGGCTAGGAAACATCCCCAGCCATGAAGGACGAAACTCAGCTTCCTGGCTACAGCATCTGGGATGTTAGGTTTCACAGTGCTCTGTGAAAAGGAAAAAATGCTTCTTTCCTTCCTCTCTCCCTTCCTCCCTCCCTCCCTCCTTTCCTTTCTTCATTCCTTCCTTCCTTATTCCCTGGAATGGGGTCTCGGGCTGTTGCCGAGGAAGTCTCAAACTCCTGGGTCCAAGGGCTGGGGGGATGAGGAGTCATTCTCAACTCTTTAGTGAGTTTGAGGACAGTCTGGACTACATGAGACCCTGCCTCAAAAAAAAAAAAAACAAAAAAAACAAAAACAGCGTGTGGGCCAGGTGATGGTGATACATGCCTTTAATCCCAGCGTCAGGAGGCAGGCGGATCTCTGTGAGTTCAAGGCCAGCCACGGCTACACAGAGAAACCCTGTCTCAGGAAAAACAGAACAATACAGTTGTTTATATGCGTGTACATGTGTGTATGCATGAATGCATGTGCGTGTGTGTGCACATGTGGGAGAGTGTGTGTATGTATGAGTGCGTGGCTGCATGTGACGCTGAAGGCGGAACCCACAGCGCTCCTGTGCCGGGGAAATGTTCGACCACTGAGCTACATCCCAGTCCTCAAATAACAATTTTTATTCTTCACTTGTTTTCGTTTACATGGGGGGGGGGCAGGCGTTTATTCCCGGCACCCACACTCGGTACTGCCACTAGTAAAAGAGCAAAACTTCTCTTTCCACTTTACTGCAAGAGAAAAAGCAGCTCCCGTGCCATGGGCTTCTTGGCCTACCTTTGAGAAAGACTGGGTTTTTCCCTTCCCATGTCCCCTCTCTCTCCTGCAGCTGCTGAAGCTAACGGGACTTCCTGTCTCAGCAAACAGTAGTTTTCCTCAAATTCCCACACCACACATTCATGTTATTTCATGAGCCAGCGATGTGGTGGGGCCCGCTGCATCTCCCATGACTCACAGCCTGTCATCAACGCAAACCACCAACTGTGGATGCCCTTGGGGACAGAAAAGGACACTTCTACATCCTTCTCTTCTGCTGCAGCTCAGGGGCACCCTGAGCCAGGGTCCAGGCAGGCACCGCCATCCCTCCCGAACCACACTGGCTCCCTCCGGATGCCGGAGGTTCTAGACGCCTAACCTTGCCGTGTCTGCCTCCACAGGTGCCCAGAGAGCAAGTGGGTAGCAGGGGTGGCTGCCCAGCCCTGTCCAGGCATCAGGCACCCTGTCTGCCCATCTGGTTTTCTGAGACTAGACTAACAGGCTCCCAGGACAATCCTTTGCAAACGCCTGGCTCACTTGCAAGAGAATCACCTTTCTTGGTGAAGATGGAGCTGTCGCTAAGAACAGACTTCTGTGACCCTTTCAGCAGGCCCTGAAAGCGCCGAGGGAAGCCATGGATGCCTCCACTACAGCCCAGAATGTTGGCATGGAGATCTACCTAGGTCCTGGGTGGCCAGCCCCTTCCAACGCCACCTCCGTGGCCCTCAACCTGTCCGTGCCGCCGCAGGGCGACAGCCCAGGGAACCTCACTGGGAACCTGTCTGAGCACCAGCAGTACGTGATTGCCCTCTTCCTCTCCTGCCTCTACACCATCTTCCTCTTCCCCATCGGCTTCGTGGGCAACATCCTCATCCTGGTGGTGAACATCAGCTTCCGGGAGAAGATGGCCATCCCAGACCTGTACTTCATCAACCTGGCAGCCGCAGACCTCATCCTGGTGGTGGACTCGCTCATTGAGGTGTTCAACCTGGACGAGCAGTACTACGACATCGCGGTGCTCTGCACCTTCATGTCCCTCTTCCTGCAGATCAACATGTACAGCAGCGTCTTCTTCCTCACCTGGATGAGCTTCGACCGCTACCTGGCGCTGGCCAGGGCCATGCGCTGTGGCCTCCTCCGCACCAAGCACCACGCGCGCCTCAGCTGCGGCCTCATCTGGATGGCCTCGGTGTCCGCCACCCTGGTGCCCTTCACAGCCGTGCACCTGCGGCACACCGAGGAGGCCTGCTTCTGCTTTGCCGACGTCAGAGAGGTGCAGTGGCTGGAGGTCACCCTGGGCTTCATCGTGCCCTTCGCCATCATTGGCCTCTGCTACTCCCTCATCGTTCGGGCCCTGGTCCGGGCCCACCGGCACCGAGGCCTGCGCCCACGCCGGCAGAAAGCCCTGCGGATGATCTTTGCCGTGGTCCTCGTCTTCTTCATCTGCTGGCTGCCGGAGAACATCTTCATCAGCGTGCACCTCCTGCAGTGGACGCAGCCAGGGGACACTCCCTGCAAGCAGTCCTTCCGCCACGCCTACCCCTTGACGGGCCACATCGTCAACCTCGCGGCCTTCTCCAACAGCTGCCTGAACCCCCTCATCTACAGCTTCCTGGGAGAGACCTTCAGGGACAAGCTGAGGCTGTACGTGGAGCAGAAGACAAGCCTGCCAGCTCTGAACCGCTTCTGCCACGCCACGCTCAAGGCCGTCATTCCTGACAGCACGGAGCAGTCAGAGGTGAAGTTCAGCAGTGCTGTGTGAGGGGGACCTCCCAGACGGAGGAGGAACGGCCGGTGCTCAGGAGCTGCACACCTGGCCCAGGCGGTGGCTGACCCCCGTGGCTTGGGGAACGCCACAATGCTGGGTCATCTCTGGCTGCAGGGATCCTTCCTGACTGTCCGGCTCATGTTGATGCCATCCAGATTCAGGGGCCCGAGGCAGCAGGTCACATGACATTGACCTCTGACCTCAAACGGCACCTTGAAGGCCTGCTGCCTGGTTGTCTCTCCATAGCCTCTGTCCCCAGAAGACAACTCTGCTGTGATGGGCAGCCAGAAGGATAGGCCACCCAACGGGGCCACCAGTCACACTTCTGCTCCAGGCCTGCCACGTGGGTGGAAGAGGCTAGAGACTGGGTGTATGACCCAGACCCAAACTGGCTACATTTCCTTTGCTTGTGATATATAACTGACCATGCACATGCTGTCCAGTGCAGCAAACCTTAAGACACCGGAGCCTTCTTCCTGTCTCCCAGAAGGCCTCGGGGTCACCCCAGACGCCACTCCTAACTCCTGAGTGGCCAGCATATCCGAGCTGAGAAAGGCCCTTTAACAAAACGCCTGGCTGCTCTGGGATGTCCACCCCCCCCCCACACACACACAATGCCTGTTTACAAAGGTGTCCGCCGGTGTGGAGGTGGAAGGCTGTGGGTGCTCTGTGTGGGTCAGTGGGTGCTGCAGTGAGTGTGGGGCTGAGGGACTCGCCTCCACAGAAAACAAAACTGGGAGCCGTGAGATGCAAATGGATCTTATTAAAATGTAAAAAAGAAAGAAAGAAAATCGGTGTTCATGCAGTGTCTGTGAATAAAGCGCAGTCTCTTGGCGACTCTGCTGTGCTCTGCACTTCTTTCGGCGGTGAGGAGGCGTGGGTGAGGAGGCATGAGTGAGGGACGCACACCAGTACAGGCAGCCCACAGCCTCACACACCTATGTGCCACTCTCAGGACCCGCTTGCGCACCAACGGTCACCCCAGCCTGCTGGCTACACCTGGCACTTCTGGGATCGGGTGGGCCACATCCTGTGTTTCACCTGGGCACCAAACGTGGCTTCCCTGTAACTCACACTGACAGTCACACTTCGCCTCAGTCAGGGGTCTGCACAGGACGGCTATCTGTCCCGTCCCTAGGAGACTCCGGACTGTTATGTGTGCCCAGGGCTGGGAGTCACAGGGCATGCCTGGGGCCAGGACAGAGGGACTCTCTGGCCCTGCATCACAGGCTCAGCCTCCACTCCCGACCACCCCCCTGGGTAGCTGCCCATGGTAGGAGGCCCACTGCTCTAGCCAAGGACCCTGGGGTCTCTAGACTCTACAGAGTGTAGGAGCTGGGGCAGGACCTTAGGGGAACACATGAGGTAACATGGCAGTGACAGAAATGACTCACTTTGTCTCTAAAGAATATGCTATTTTCCATTCAAACCTATGACCCTGCCTTTTTATTCTGATAACAAGCTGTATTTATAGATAAGCCTAAGTAAGTGAAAAGGTAGGTGATATTTAAGGCATTAAGTTAAATATTAAAGGTATTTAATTATCTTTCCAGATATTTAAGAACAGTATCTGGAAAGAGAACAGGAAGTTTAGTGGACTTGGCAGGGCCAAGAGTTAGCCAACTACACAGGACACAGATTCCCTCTGCCTCGGTTCTCTGTCAGACACAGCTTGTGCAGGGTGGCATGGCTACCAGCCTGGAATGAGTCCCTGCTGAGAACAAGTCTTCAATAACCAGAGCATCTGTCCCCAGCTTTCACCAGAGTCCTATGCAGGGCTGGCTTTCTACCTGGGCGGGACGTGAGGACCAGTCACCTCCAGGAAGAACCGGCCGGTGAAGAACCAGCTGGTGTGTGCCTCTGTCTTGCAGAGCTCCACAACTCAGGTAGGAGTGCTCGACTCCACTCCAGCCAAGCCTTCAAGGTACGCAGAGCTCATGCCGCCCTTGCCAAACCAAGAGGTGTAAGACCTCGTTAGCAGCCTCGGAGCCCCAGGTGATGCGGGCAGCTCTCACGGGGCTCCTACGGACAGGCGCAAAGTGGGGCTTACAGTGGAGGCTGGCAAGTGTGGCTGCAAACCCTGACGGGGTGACATCACTGTACATGTTCACTGCAAGTTGCCTCGCTTGACCTCAGTGATGGTGACAGAAACAGACCCCACCCATTCCCAGTCACGGAAGAAGGCAAGGCTGGGCCGCAACTTCCCAAGTGTGCCTACGTGAGAGGCATCTTTCCGGCTGTCCTCGGGCCAGTGTGAGGCACAGATGTCTGAAATCAGCTTTGGTTAGGGAGGCAGCCAAGGCCTCGGAAAGAGGACAACAGCCCCCTGGGACCCCTGTGCTTTTCATATAGAGAAAAAACTAGATGCTCAGAGTCTGTGAACGCTCAGAACCATGGACAACAGAGGATGGGGCTGGGAACAGAACCTCAGCCTCCAGCACCCACACTGTCTCTACAGAGCACTTGGCAGCTCTGTGACAGGGAAGAAAGAGCCTGGACAGCCGGGGAGCCAGCGCACCCAGAGGGCAGCCAGGGTCACCCTTTCCTCTTTACAGCTACAACACCAGGCCGACAATTCACTGCACCTGCGTGAAATCCTAGAACACCTCTCAAGAGACAGCACCCCTTCCTCATGGCCAGCCAGCCTTATGTCAGCGGCACAGGACAGGCCTGCTCTTTGCTGCACATGGCCGCAGCCCAATGTAATGCCACCTCCTCTCTGAGGCTCCTGAGTGGAGGCTTCTGCAAGCTAGGTTTCGACAGGCTGGAGGCAGAGAGGGTTGGAACCCAGCTCCTGCCTCCTCTGTGCCTCAAAGCACACTTGCCATCTGCAGACGTTAGAACTGCTCTGGGGATGGGTGGGGTGGATGACCCAGCCCCGGGCAGGGTGGCTAAAAGGGTAAGGCGAGGTCGAAGGCTGAACCTAGGGGGACAGGACAGGGCAGAGGTGGCTGGCTCTTTGGGGCCCTGTGCAGCCCATTTGACCCCCCTCAAGAGTGTGTCCGGGAGCTGAGCTGAGGCTAACACAATTATTCTTGGCAGGAACACCACAAGATAAAATCAAGGCGTTTTAATTGCACTGCTGTTTCCTGGTAACCTGGCTCACTCCTGCGTACAAATGTAGTTCAGACCCTAGGAGGAGCAGAGGCAGCCACCGTGGGCACAGAAAACCTGCTTAGAACTGGAAACCATTCCATCACCTTCTCACAGCTGAAATAATGCGCTCTGCCTGCACCCCAGCCCACCCGTCTTCCCGGGCCCCGGCCAGCAAGACCTGAGCTACAATTAATCGTCTCCTCCCTGCTTCCGAGGGACGAAGGGGGCCAGCCACCCAGCTGCGAGGGAGAGGCTTCTAAAACTCATAAAGGATAATCGGCAAGCTTGACAGCACACTTGTCTTTTGGGATTCTCCCCCCAAAGGCCTATGTAGTGGCGCAGTGTGGACGCTCTTCGGCCGCAGTCCTGAACACGAACCACGAGCACACAGCAGCCTCCCCTCCACTCCTTCGCAACACTTGGGAAATTCAGTCCCAAGCGTCTCTGCTTCATTAATGCTTTTTTAAAATTTGTGTGCACATGTGTATGGTGTCAGCAGGGGGGTGGGGAGGGGAAGTTGCTTGTGTGGAGGTCAGAGGCCAATTTAGGATGTCTTCCCCTAATCAAACTCGATAATAAAGATCTTTATTTTTTTCAGACAGAGTCTCTCACTGAGCAGTGACCCCAGGGATCTGCCTGTACACACACACGCTCACGCACGCCCCTTAGAGACCTGGCATGTTCGGGGTGGGAGCGCTGGAGCATGTGGTTCTCAGTGAGAAAGGCTCTGGGGGGACAAGGTCACACCCAGGACAGAGGAGATGGCCTCAGGTCCTCCCATGGGCCAAACTGGGATGATCTGAGCATCAGGGTAATTAAGAGGAGTCAACAGCTACAAACAGTTATGGACTATTAACGAGCAACCATGACTCCACTCCAGTAATAACTGGATAAATATAACTTACATAATAAATACAATGTAATAAGAAGCCAAGCAATGAGCCAGAGCGTGGGCACCGGGAGGAGGAGGCAGCCTATGGGAAGAGCTGGCAGGCAGGAGAGCGGATCCGGAGTAAGCCCAGTCCCTCAGCAGCCTTCCCAAGGGTTCACTCATGTGGCCACAAGCCCCCCGGTGAGGGAGCGAGGCACCTGCAAAGCCCAACTTATTAGAGCAGGGCGCTCCCACGGAGCAGACGGCGCGGCCCCTCCTGGGTGGCCACACTGGCATCATGGAGGACGGGGAGTCCAGACAGTGGAGAGAGGCAGGGAAGCATACACCTGATCCAACCGGACAGCATCAGGAAAAACCAAAGTGGTGACAAGGAGCCGGCGCACACCACAGTGATGAACAAAGACTGAGTTCCAGTGAAAAGGGGCATGGAATGCAATGCAAGATCCCCAGTCAAAAAAAAAAAGGGGTGGGGGTGAGAGAGGGCTGGAGACCCGGGTGGGATGGGCTACAACCAGGGCCTGATGCACGAGGCTCACCTGTAATCGCGGCACATGGGAGGTGGGGGCAGGAAGGACAGGCATCCAAGTCCAGCTTGGGTCTCACAAGCCCATCTCAAACAAACAAACAAACAAATGCACGCCGCAAAGGCTACTGGGGAGCTTAAGGTTGGGTACCAAGGCCCAGTTTCCTGAGCCTGCCTCATGTGCTGTATAATGTAACTACTTTCCGCACCCTCGGCAACCAGTGAGACAGCCAAAGGTAAAGGACATTCTGGGGCTGAGAGATAGCTCAGAGGGTCAAAAACGCTTGCTGCCTAAGCACGAGGACGTGAGTTCAAGCCACAGCACTGATGTGAAAAGCCAAGCCTTACTCATGTGCCTTACCCAGGGCGGGCGGGGAAGCGGAAGCATGACACGGGGTGACACCCTCGTCAGGAAGCTGCTCTGCGCTGGACTCTCCTTATGCACGTCCCTCTCGCCTGGCTCTGCGGTCCCTTCCACGCAGAGGAGAGCCACCTACGCTGCTTGCACTTGCCATTAGCAGCTGCAAAGCGTGTTCTGAACAAGGGCAGCTTAAGCCATCTGGAATCCCCGAAGCCATCCTCCAGCATTTACTGGGAAGCTCCTAATTAAAGTTTTCTCTTCTCACTTACTGCCTGGTAATTCCAGCTTTATTTTCTCTTTCACAGTGGGAAACTAATTATCCGGGGTGCCTTTCCATAGGCTTTTCAATTAAAAACAGGGGGAAAGCACGTTGGTAAAATGAAAGTGGGGGGCGGGCAGTCATTCTCTGCATTCACTCACACAGAGGCAAAGGCCAGTTCTCTGTCCCGGAGGGCAGGCTCTCCAGGGAGGCAGGACACCTATGCACAGCGTCAGCCAGCTAGCAGCCCAGGGCCGAGACTGATGGCCCAGCCATTGCTGTCCAGCAGCAAGGTACAGAGAAGGCCAGTCACACCCCTCACTCTGCAAGGCCGACGCCTCCCTGGGGATAACACCGCTGAAGACTGGGGTGGGGAGGGAGATGTGTCCATCAACCAGCAAGAGCCTCCATCCGCACCCCTGGGACTGGCCAACACTAGGAGAAAACGGAGCATGCCACCCGGGGTGCTGCCACCGGTGGGAACGCCAGCTTCCCTCAGACCGGAGAAGGGCTCCTACTGTACCAAGCAGGCCAGGAGTGGTGGTGCATGGAGGCTGAGGCAGGAGGACTTTGAGTTTGAGGTCAACCTGGCCTAACCTAGCTCAGAAAACCAAGGGCTTGGGTGGGAAGTGGGGAGGCGGCTCTGTTGATAAAGTGTTTGCTTTGCAAGCACAAGGTCCCGGGTTCCTTACTTAACAAAGCC